CAACAATCACTGAAGGAACTAATGCCTGCTTGTTTGTTTTCATCGGTCTATGCCAGCCTACGAAGTTGTGTGTACTATGTGACCAACAAAGTGCTATAGAACATGGATTATTGTTCTTAGTGAGAACAGCCATTACTATGTACCAATTTCCAGAAAACGGGTCACAAATAGCATTAATGGACCAACGCAGTTTCCATATATATATATATATATATATATATATATATATATATATATATATATATATATATAATCCTCATTGGACCAGTCGTCTTTTCCTATTTGACTGCAGCAATTGTGGACTGAATCTTTTCTCCCTAATCAATGTAAATTGAGCCCCATTTTCTTAAAAGTCTTTTTAAGTTTCAGGTTTTATTCCTGTGCTTTTTCTTGCGTCGTTTCTAACTCTCATGAAATGAAGAATCTGTAGCTTCTCTCTCCTACAACCATTTCTATCGCTATATTGTCTACTTAAGATTATAATGCCACTCTAAGATGTTGTACTTCCCTCACAGAGGAGCTGATCCAAAGACAGCGTGTGACCTGTTTGTTTACTCTTGGCAATGCATGGCATGTACATTGGAAGGTAAAAAGCTCACAGGATTCCGGTGCCACCTCCGCCACCCGACGTGAAGTCTTGGCCGGCGATCCACAGATGGATGATCAAGCAGCTGGAAATGGAAGGACAATGAAACTAGTAGTCATTTTTAGATAACAAACAGAGAGTGATTAGTTCATGCCGAAAGAAAGAAAGAAAGAGCAAAAGCTACGTTTGTCGGGAAGGTGGCGAGGGAGAAGATCATGGCGGACAAAGTTTCGATCGTTTGGCTCTGAAGCAGACGAAGAAGAAGAAGATAAGAGAGTGTTTGAAAGAGGCAATCATCGAGAGCTCTCGCTGTCTGTCTGTCTGTCTGTCGCAAAATAATGTCATCGGTCGGTATAGTTAAAAGGACAATTTAACTTCGCACTGAAAATAACGTCATCGATTGGTACAGTGACAAACGCAAGATGCATGAATTGGTCATATTAGAGTAATTTTGAACATGGATATCATGTATTTGATAGACTTTTTTACCGGAGTGAGTTCCTCAGAAACTCCATTTTAGTATTTAATCCTTAAAATAATGTAGCACTAAATTATTTAATTTTACTTGAACATGTAAATCATTATATTACAATAAATGTCTAATTTTTGTAAAATTTTCTTGATACAAATTTAATTATTATTCATCCTTACTCTCTGCTTATATAAATTAATCTTCCGAGTGATACATTACGATTATAATAAGTTGCGAAAACCATTATTATTGGCACCTTTACCGTCGTAACGAGTCGAGACTCGCAGCTCTTTGGACTCAAAAGTCAATTAATTTATGATTTTTTATTCGAATATAATATGGGGGCATGCCATGTTGGCAATCGACACATCACACTCATTAGATTTGACGGCAACCGCAACATCGACCGGAGTGATGTATACGATCATTTTCAATATTTATAGTAACATTGGGATAAAAAGACATTTCAGGTTCGTTCAGGCGTTTTCATTGGATACTTTCCGATTTGGGGATTCGACAGAATCCTTCAGACTCCAAATTTACATTTAGCAATTGAGACAGACTCGGAAACTCCAAATTAAATTAAGCGACTGAGACAGACTGGAAAGTAGAGCGATACTTCCTTCCTTGGTTGCGAACCCAATCCAGATGTGCTACAATTAGAATCTGACTTAGTACTTATACTTGGATCTGTATTCCGATTCCAACTCGGATGGACTCGTCCTGTTGGCTCTGGTCGGAAAGCTTCACTCGCTGCACACTAACATGGAAGAGAGTCGAGGATCTGCTGCTCCCATGATCACAGCTCCCTTGTTCCTCGCATCCTGCAGATAGTCCAAAGCTTCCCTGGTTATGACTTCACCGGGGTTCAGCACCGGAATACCTGGTGGCATCGTGCAGATGAGCTCGCCACATATCTCCCCGAGGCTTTCTCCAATGTTCACTTTCCTCTTCTTCGCGAAGAAGGCCTCCCTCGGACTGAGCTCCCGCCTAAACCCAGCAAACGGTGTTATCGCGCCACTCCCAACTTGGTTCTGCGATCGGTTCTCATCGAGGAACCTCGTCGAGAGATGTGACAGAGCTGTGATCAGCCTTTCCGTGTGCTCCATGGACGTCCCCCAATTGAAGACCAAGGTCACAGACCGCATCCCTTCAAACTGAGGTATGACTCCGTGCTCCTCACATAGCAGCTCATTCACCTTGAAGCCGGTCAGTCCTAGCCGGGAGACACCGACTGTGACACGCAGAGGATCCATATTGGGGAAATCAGAGGAAAAGCTCGACGCATCCAAGATCGAAAGACCTGGAATTCGCCCTATCTGAAGCCTCGCGAGGTCCGCCATTTCCATGGCTTTACCCAAGATGGCTCCTGGATTCTCGCTCAGCTGAGCTCTGGCAGCGTCGAAAGACGCCAGGAGTAGATAGCTCGAGCTGGTGCTCTGAAGTGCTTCGAGGCATCTGCGTACTCTTTCCCTGTCCACACGATGTCCGGACATGTGCAGCATCGACGACTGCGAAAGAGAGGAGAGAACCTTGTGCGTAGATTGAACCACGAGGTCCGCACCTTGCTCCAGCGCCGTCATCGGAAGCCTCGGATGAAACTTGAAGTGCGCACCGTGGGCTTCGTCTACGATTACCGGAACGCCGTGCGAGTGACACAGCTTGGTGGTCTCATCGATCTTGCAGCATATCCCCTGATAAGTTGGTGAGGTGATGAGGACCGCAGCAGCTCGTTTCCCACCTTCCTTCAGCTCCTCTATAGCTGTCTCCACCTGTGATGGGGTGACTCCGCCGGCAACGTCCCAAAGCGAGCTGTACTCCGGCGTGATGTATTTTGGTATGGCTCCGGATAAGACCATGGCGTGAGTCGCAGAGATATGTGCATTCCTAGGGAGAACGAGGAAGTCACCAGGAGAGCAAGTGGCCATGATCGATGCCATCACCCCGCAGCTGGCTCCTCCCACGAGAAACCATGTCTCCGATGAGCCAAATAATTCGGCCGCCAGCTTTTGGGCATCAGAGATTGGTCCTTTGGAGGAGGACAAGTTGCCAATCCTGGGGATGGGAGCCAAATCATACGTGAATACGTCGGGGCCAATGAGTTGGGAGAGCATTGCCGGAGCAGCTTTGCCTCTATTGTGTCCTGGAAACTGAAAGCAAGCTGGGTCTAGTTCTGCAAGGGCCATTAGAGCAGAAACGAAAGGGGCATTCGTC